TATATAATAAATATATTATAAGTAATATATAAATTTAAAGGTATAAAGTTTAAATTAATTTTATTAATAATAATTATTAATTAATATTAATTAATATTAATTAATTATTAATTAATAATTATATACTTTATATATAAATCATTATAATTAGCTTATAATTAAATAAGAAAAGGCTATAGCTTTATTATAACTTAATCTTTATATTATAATTAAATTAATTATATACTTTATTTATTTATTATTAATTATATAAAAGCTAAATTAATATTAATTAATATTTATTTAATAAGTATAAATAATTAAATATTAAAGAAATAAATTTTATTTTTTAAAAACTTATTTACTTATAATAATTTTATTAAGGAACTTTATATTAATAATAATGTTATAAATTATTAAAAAGCTTAATTAAGCATTAAAAATTAATTTATAATAATAATATTTAATTTTTAATTATATTTATTAATATATATTATTAATAATAATAATTATAATAAGTTTTAATTAAAAAGCCTTTCTTAATATATTCTTAAATAATTATAACCTTTTTTAATTATTAAAAGCCTTTTTATAATATTTTTAATTATTAATTAAATTAATAATAAGCTTTATTTAATTTTATTTAATTTATAATACATATTTAACTTTTAATTTATTATATTTTTATACTTTTAACCCTCCTTATAATACCTTTAAAAGCTCTTTATAAGATATTTTTAATTATTAATGCCTTTATTTATAATTATTATAAAAAGCTTTTAATTAATATCTTTAAAAAGCCTTTATTTATAATTAATACCCTTTAAGGTATTTATATAATATTTTTAAGGCTTATAACTCTTTAAAAACATCTTAAGTACTTAATAATATATAAAGTATTTTAAATACTTTAAAGTATTAATAAATAATATTTCTTTTAATTAATTTATATATTTAATTAATATATTTAATTAAATACTTTAAAGAGTATTAATAAAAGTAAGCAATTAATATAATTATTTTATTTACTTAATTAACTTAAAATTATTAAAAGAAATAATTAAAATTTATTATAAGTTTAATTATATAAATAACTTAATTAAACCTTTAAAATATTTACCTTTTAATAATAATTAATATTTAATTAATAAGTATAACTTTTTCTTTTTTTAATGCCTTATTTATTAATACCTTTTAATAAGATTTTAAATATAAATTACCTTAAAGTTAATAAAAGTTAATTTATTAAGTAATAATAATATTTAAGCATTATTATTTATAATTAAATAATTTAAAAGCTAATTATTAATTTATAAATATAATATAAAAATATTCTTTTTTTTTCCTTTTATTTTATAATTAATTATTATAAAATTTCCTTAATAATAATAACCTTTATATTAATAATAACCCCTTTCTTTAATAAAGAAAACATTATTAATATAATTAAAAGCTTTAAAAATTATTTAAATTATAATAAAAATCTTTTTAATAAATTTTAATATAAGTTTTATAAATAAATAAAGAAATACTTTTAAAAAATTAATTAAAAGCTTTTTTATAAGCTTAATTAAATATTTTATTATTATAAGGTATATATAAAATATAATTATATATTAATAATAAAGGCATTAATTATTTTAGCTTAATTAAATAATTAAGAATTGCTTTAATAGCCTTAAAAAAAGTTTATAATAATAACTTTTTACTTATAATTAAAAGTATATAAATATTAATAAAAGCTTTTTAAGGAAAAGAAGCTTAAATTAATTAAAATAAAGTTAATTATTATAAAGCTAATTATTAAAAAATTAATATTTTTTTATTTTTATTAATTATAATCTTTTTATTAATTAATAATGCTTTTAATATAAGCCTTATAATAATAACTTTTTTTATAATAATAATAATTTTTTCTTTATTAAGAAATATAATAATAATAATTATTATTAACTTAAACTTAATTTATTCCTTAAGTACTTTAGCTAACTTAATAATAAAAAGAAAAAAGCTATTAAAATAATAATTAATTAATTAAAAAATAATATTTAAATACTTTAAAGCTTTAAAGTATTAATAATTAAATAATTTAAGCAATTTAAGCATTTAAAACATTTAAATATACTTATATTTAAATATTTATATTTAAATACTTATATTTAAATACTTATACTTAAATACTTATACTTAAACTCTTAAAGTAATAGCTATAAAGTACTTAGCTTTTTATAATCCCTTAAAAAAACAAAATATTTATATTAATTAAGTAATTTAATTAATTAAATAATAATTTAAAGGAAAAGCATAATTTTAAAGTATATATATATATATATATATATAAAATATTATTAATATAAAACTAATATATATAAATATTATATATAATATGCTTATATAATAAATATATTATAAATAATATATAAATTTAAAAATATAAAGTTTAAATTAATTTTTTTTAATAATATTTATTAATTAATAATTATATACTTTATGCATAAATTATTATAATTAATTTATAATTAAATAAAGAAAGGTTATAGCTTTATTATAATTTATTTTTTATATTATAATTAAATTAATTATATACTTTATTTATTTATTATTAATTATATAAAAGCTAAATTAATAATGTTAAATATTAATTATAATTATATTATTTTTTTTATATATAAAATATATTTACTTAATTATAAAGTTTTATATATATATAAAAATATAAAAAAAAATTAAATATAAATCTTTTTTTATTAAAAGTTTTTTAAAAATTATTTAATTATTTAATTATTTAATTATTTAATTATTTAATTATTTAATTATTTAATTATTTAATTATTTAATTATTTAATTATTTAATTATTTAATTATTTAATTATTTAATTATTTAATTATTTAATTATTTAATTATTTAATTATTTAATTATTTAATTATTTAATTATTTAATTATTTAATTATTTAATTATTTAATTATTTAATTATTTAATTATTTAATTATTTACTTTTATTAAAAGTTAAAATTAAATATTAAATTTATTATTTTATAAAGTAAGTAATTTAATATATATATATATAATAGTTTATTATATTTTTATAAAAATATATAAAAAAGGTTTTTAATTATAATAATTTAAACCTTTTTTAATAAAACTTTATATAAAGATATTTATATAAAATATTTATATAAAATATTTATATAAAATATTTATATAAAATATTTATATAAAGATATTTATATAATATATTATATATATTTTATTTATATATATATATTATATATTTTATATATATATATATATATATATATTATTATATTGCTTTTTTTATTTTATTATTATAAGCTTTATTTTTATAATAAAAATTAAGTTAATTTATTATATAAAACTTATTAAATATATTTTAAGATTTCTTAATTTATAAAATAAAATATATTAAGTTATAAAAATTATAATTTAATAATAAAATTTAAATATTAATAATATTAATATTTAAAGTTTTAAATTTAAATCTTATTATTTTATTTACTTTTATATATTTTTATTTCTTTATTTAAAAAGATATTATAAATAAATTAAAGTTTTTTTTTTTTTTTTATTTTATTTTTTTCTTTTTCTTTATTCTTTTTCTTTCTTTTTTCTTTTTTTTTTTCTTTCTTTTCTTTTTCTTTTCTTTCTTTTCTTTCTTTTCTTTCTTTTTTTCTTTCTTTTTTTTTTTTTTCTTTTTTCTTTTTTCTTTTTTTTCTTTCTTTTTTTTTTTTCTTTCTTTTTTTTCTTTATTTCTTTATTTATTTCTTTCTTTATTTATTTTCTTTATTTCTTTATTTATTTCTTTATTATTTCTTTATTTATTTCCCTTTCTCCCTCCCTTTATTTCCCTCCCTTTTTTTCTTATTACTTATTACTTATTGCTTATTACTTATTACTTATTACTTATTACTTATTACTTATTGCTTATTGCTTATTACTTATTACTTATTATTATCTTAGCCTACCTTATATATAAGGAAAAAGAGCTAATTAAAATCATTAAATTTAAAGATCTAAGCATTGTTAAAAGTTTATATAAAAAGCTATTTTAATTTTTAACATTTAACCTTTATATTTCTATTTATTTCTTTAGCAAATTAAGGTTTTAAATTATATAATTGAAACCATTATATAAAGAAAAACTTAGAGAATATTCTTATATAATTAGTTTTTTATAAGAGAAAAGTAATATTTTTTGGTGGGAGATGGGTATTAGAGCTTATTCCTTAGACGGGATACAAAACCATTCTAAAAGAATGGCATAAGCATAGCGCATTGCCGCTATGCTTGGGCGCACCTTAGCGCTATATATAAGCAGTTATCGGCGGATAATATACCTTAAGTAGCTGCCGCTATATATATTATAATAACTTTATAATAATGTTACTTATAGGAAATTGAAATAAATAGAATTAATAACTAAATTAAGCTTTATATGCTTATAAAGTTACACCTCTTTAAAACCCTTAAAAGTGGGTGCATCATAGGTATTTATAAGACCTATGCCTGAATGGCTATTATAAAGGTATATGCCGTTAACTGCGGGGTTAACTACCCGTTAACCACCCAAACAGACCTTCGACATATGCCAGTTATCAATGCGATGTAAGATTCCCAGCAGCACGTGCACCACTTTATGCTTTGTGCAAGGGGAGGAAACACTTTCACCCCCTCATACCTGTGCTAAGGTAACTCGGTCCATGCTTTTCACAACTGCCGGTGCGTGAAAGCTTAATACTCTGCAACGCAACGGGCCGTCCCTCAGCTTCTCGCTTTCGCGTTCGGTGTTACTCCGCGACATTAAAGCCGATAGCGTTTCCTCGGATTTAGACTGGGAGGAGAACCCGAAATCACATGAACATCTTGTCCACTTTGTATATATATTGGAAGTTTCATTCTAGTCGCAGCGTACGAACCGACATGATGCACTGGAAAATCTGAATTTACACAACATCACAACCCTACCACTATCTGCTACACTGTTGTGGAAAACTGAAGCTATGGCCGATTTACAGGTGAAAAGCTTGATCTTCAAAAAGATCCCATCCGGGCGGCTTGTTCCAGGAGAGCACCTCGAGGTTGTCTCTAGCCCGGTCGATCTCACGCTGCCCTCCACGGGCGGCCTGTCCTTCAAGCTTCTCCAAGTCGGCCTCGACCCTTTTATGCGGGACCGCATGAGTGAAAGCACCAAGGACCGCTACGTTCCTGTTTTCGACCTCGGGTCACCAATCAACAACTCTTGTATAGCAAAGGTTATCGACTCCAGTATCGATGACTTCAAGAAGGACGACCTCATCACAGCGATCTTGCCTTTCGTCGAGTACGGAGTGTTGCCGAAAGAGCTTCTCGGGCCGTTGCAGGTTGCGAAGGTGGTAGACTTGCCCCCTGGGATTGATCCCAGCCTTTTACTGGGACCACTGGGACTGGCAGGGGCTACAGCTTGGGTTTCGTACTTTGGCATCGTGAAGGAGGATCAAGAAGGGCTCAGGGCTCACCCAGGAAAGTCCTTCGACGTGAGACATCGCGCGGCGGAAACCAAGACCATCTGGGTGTCCTCCGCTGCCAGCTCGGTAGGGCAGATTGTCGGACAGCTGGCGAAGCGTGACGGATACCGGGTCATCGGCAGCGTCGGCTCTGACGAAAAGCTCGATTTCATTGTCAACACCCTGGGCTACCACGCGGGGTTTAACTACAAAACAGAGAAAGCAAAGGACGCTATTCCACGCCTGGCTCCCGATGGCCTGGACTGTTATTATGACAATGTCGGCGGAGACCATCTGCAGGCGGCGCTGGACAACATGCAACCGCATGGAACAATTTGTTGTTGTGGCAGCGTAAGCTTTTCTTGAACCATCTGAATGGCGTCAATAGGCTAACAACGACAGATCTCTACTTATAACGTGACTGAAGAGGAGCGCTTTGGTATTACCAACTACGGAGAGATCTTCAGGCGGCGTGTTACAATCCGAGGCTTTACTTTCCATGAGTTAATGCCTGAGTATGGTTCAGGATTCAAAGAAAAAATGGCAAAAATGATCTCAAACGGGTCTATAAAGGCAGAGGTCAACGTGTACGAGGGGTTCGACAATATTGGTCAGGCTTTTGTGGACATGCTTGATGGCAAAGCCACGGGGAAGGTCGTTGTCAAGGTTGCCGAGCCATAGCTTTACCAATAAGGAAGCCATCTAGGGCTCTCTTTTTGATAGACCAGCACCTAGTGATACCATATGAGTCGAAGGAGTTCATGGAAACTGCCCCATTGTTCAGGGAGCCAAAAAGTTAAGTGACATTGCAAGAGTCCACCCATGTTCACGAGCCCGGAGCTTTGTTAATTATCTTACTCTGTCTACCGGCACCATGCCACACATAGATATTGCCAGGTTTGTATGGACCATCAAGTAAAAGATCTAAAAGCTTCCAAAGACGATCAAGTTCTTCGAATCAGCGCCCATCCGCAGCACGACGTCTTCTCCCAACACCTCCTCCGCGAGAACGCCGTTGATAGTGACGTTCCCGATGCTCTCACCGGTTGGGACGCGCAACTTGCACCAAGAGAAAGCATCGGCCCTGACTGCAACTAGTCCAAATTGCAGTCGAGAGATGCCGTCTCAGGGGAAACAAGATGTGTGTCATCACCCACTGGTGGTACCGTCAGGCCCAATTCTTGTAATACACAATCTTCAAGTTGTGCATGTTACCTTTCCTGTGTAAGTTTGTGCCATTTTTTGGTTCCGCGTCACTGTCGCACGCCTTGTGGCTGGCAGTTGAGATCACAACCTATTATCAGAGTGAGTACTTCGTTTTTGTAATACCAGCAATGGACATTGACCATTATAATGCCTCGGAATGTGGGCCCAATCCAACATTCGCGTTTTGTGCTACCCGTCTTGAGCGAAGACAGCGAGCCTTTTCCCGCTGGTCATACGTGTGGAAGAGATCGCTCGGTAAGCCTCGATAGTCAGTGGTTGCAGCCTGCTGGACGAAGATGAATCGAGAGTGGGTCGAGCGCAACGTTGCTCACTGTCCCATATGAGAGTTCAGGGTAGATGTACAATCACGAATGTCGTTCTAGTAGGGGATTTCCGGCGTGAGAATCCGTATGATGACGTCCATGCGTGTCTGCATTGTCTCCGAGACAAGCCTCTGATACTACCACTTCGTTAGTTTTCTTGCCTACCTCAGGCACCCAGCTATCGAAGACTATGGCTCAGAGCAAACACACCTGGGCAGCCGCATATTTCACGGATGATGATGTGGACAACATGGAATGATGGGGACGCCCTAGAAGTACGTCTTCACGGTAAACATTCTGCCAGCTCGTCGATTTCGCAATGTCAATTGATACGACAGCGAGAACATGGTGCAGATTTATGATCCAATCCAAAACGGGCTGTGATTTCCAAGTGCTTCCTAGGTGTCAACTGTTAATGCCAGCTACGGGCGATCTCCGGTACGACTTATCACTCCTTCAAATGAACCCTTCTCTTCAATCTGAGACCTGATTCTTTCTGCACAGAAACACCTACCAACAAAAGTGTGACTCTAGTTGGAAGTTTCAACATGATCCTTTCTTCAGTATTCCTAGCAGTCATCAAGACCTGCTCCGCCGCCACGACAAATTTGAACCATCTTCCTCCAGAGATCGTAGTTCACCATGCTGCACATCTGTTTGAAGGCCATCACGGTGAGTACCTTTCCCATACTGTATTATGAGACCGTTCAATTCGTTTTCACACATTATAGTCGGTCGCCGTGGGGAGTTAGCTGTTGCTGAAGCACTGTGATGCCCAACAGATCATGTCACCTCTGAGGAGCTTGATCGATTCAGAACGTACGCATAGTATGCTGGTGCTGCCTACCGTGACCACGTGAGTGGAGGGGGTGAGGTGTTTTACAATGTCGATATTTGTCCGTCACAGGATGCGACGTACTCTGAGTAAGTAGTCACAATGCCCCGGAATGTCATGCAGGTTGTTTGCTCAGTTAAAGCACCCGCACCTTATCTGAAAACATGGCGATCCACACAAAAACATCCTCGAGAACCTCCGCGGCTTCATTGCCGTCGACCACACCCTGCAAGAAATCATCGTATCCTTCCGCGGAACCATAGGTTGGGAGTGGTGGAACAATATCTTCAAATCGCACCCAAAACGCCGGGAAGCGATGAGATGTCCCAGTAACTGTAAGGTCCACTCTGGATGGCAAGAAGCAGAAGAGAGAGTCCACGAAGATATCACGAAAGAGATCAAGAGACTTGTTGGCGAATATCCTGGACATAGCATCACGGTACGTTTTCGATCCACAACGATTCCGCTCTCCCCGGTTGGTGTAAACTCCGAGTCTATACTTCAACCACGTTCAAAAGTGCTCTATTAAGTTTTCCTGCACGGTAGTTGCTATGCAAGACTGTGTAAAAGCAATCTTCCAATTCTCTTGTCCTCAATGCACACAGAGGTTTAAATATACTGTTATGAAGTTTAATTGGAATATTTCAAAAGGTTCTGTTATCTACTAGCACTTGGGAAATACTTCGTCGTCTCCAGTTTGCAACATGTTCATCCACTTTTGCGTTAAGTCAGGTAAACACTTCCCATACATGAGAAGGTAGTAGGAACTATCGCCCTAACACAGTCATTTCAATTCAACTCCAATCATGGAGCGGACGTAAATGTCTCATCCCAAGCGCCATCGTGGATCGCTGTGGCTTTGAGACAGCAGCCAGCTTGCATTTTCAACAAGCCTCGTTGCATCTGATTGGCCTCGACTCGCCAATTACTAGTATCGGCTCTCAACGAGTGTCGCACAGCGTCAGTGCACGAAAATAAAAGCACTGTTGGCTTGCACTACCCACCTATGTATATTCGACGAGTCGATAGAACAGGCACTGTGTTCTCTAATAGCTCGGTGCCAACGAAAAGCTCATCAATTTCTATTTGTAATTCAAACTGGACTAACTCTCACTCTTCTTTTGTCCAGCAAGAGGTGGCCAGACTTACACCGTTTGTTGAATCCCATAGAACCGTTAACCATGACCATATCCAGAACCAAACCGACCCCCCGTGGCCAACGCCTGGGCAGGTGGCTGCCAAGGGACCGCAGAACCATCAAACAATGGGGTTGCCCAGAAAGCCGAAGCAGCGCGCAAGGTCCCGGACAGGAAATCGCTGGAGGGCGGCGCACCAGTTAATCCAAGTCTCGCTAGGTTCCAGAAGATTGTGGTCGAAAGCCCGTATTTGCTCAAGCTCGCGAACGACATGTTCACAGAGGCCTCGAGCAAGTATCCCGAAGACCCTGTTGGGAACTGCGCCATCAAATCGTTCCGCGAATTCATCTATGTGGTAGACCTTGTCATTCAGTCCGGCCCGGAGTTCTTCAACAAGGCAGAGCCTGAGACAGCCATGGACTACATCGGGTTCCCCATCAATGCCCTCCTCGATTGGCCGATGGGCACTGTCTCAGGATATGAGTTTTTCCTTCAGCGGACGGTCAACGACGCGCTCAGGGAAGTGCTCTGCTCCTGGGGCAAGTTCCTCGGCACCCCGGGCTCAAAGGCGTGCCTTGACGGCTGGCTGTCAGATACGGCGCAGGAGCTGATCGCGGCCGAGGCAAACATCGGCGGCACTTCGTACACTTTCAAGGATCTCTTCATCTGCCCGGACGCCTCCGGCACGCACCTCGGCTTTGACTCGTGGGACGCGTTCTTCGTGCGAGAGTTCCGCAGCGGCATCCGCCCCGTCGCGGCTCCAGACGACGGCGGCCCAAACCCGCTGTCCCATGACCCGACCCTCGTCATCACCAACGCGTGCGAGTCGGCGCCCTTGCAGGTCCGGACAGAGGTCAAGCTTCTCGACACTTTCTACCTCAAGGGCCAGCCATACTCCCTGGGCAACATGCTCAACTGCGGCGCGCGCACGGACGACTTTGTGGGCGGCACTGTCTACCAGGCCTTTCTCAGCGCACTCAGCTACCACCGCTGGCACGCCCCCGTCGGCGGCAGGGTTGTAGGAATCGAGTCCGTCCCGGGGACGTACTACAGTGAGAATTGGTATGAGGGGCTCGCCGGGGCGCAGGATCCGGATAAGGCCGATCCCCTGGCTGCGTGTAATTCGCAGCCATATCTCAGTGCCGTTGCGACGAGGACTATCATCTACATCGAGGCCAGGAACCCCAGAATCGGGCTGATGGCGGCCGTGTTCATCGGCATGGCCGAGGCTTCTAGCTGCGAGGTCACTGTGGAGGAGGGGGAGGACATCACAAAGGGCCAGGAGCTGGGCATGTTCCATTTCGGAGGTAGCTCGCACTGCTTGGTGTTCCGGCCTGGGGTTGGTATGCACTTCGTGCACCCGGGGCCTTGGGATATGGACCATGAGCAGAACTTCGCTGTGAGGAGTGCGTTGGCTGTGGCTGTCTAGCACCCTTACATGTTGCAGTCGGTTCTGCCAATAAGGACTTCCTTTTTAGAAACGGGAAGCTTCAACATTGCGAGGAGTGGACTGACATCACTTTCCAATACAAGTGAAAAATATTCGAGGGAATGCTAAGTTATCAGTAATTATCTGGTATCTGGTGTTCTAAAGTCGCCAATATGATAAGCAAATATGATGAGCAACGGACTTCATCAGGCTGGCAATATATCTGTAAAATCAATTTGGCCAAACCAGTGAGTTCCCAGATCAATCAATCTCCCGGTCGCGGTGCCCAAATGCTGCACCGCTTTGAGAAGCCTGGGCCTAGATAAGAAGCCCCGACTGCGTGGCTCATGATATTGAATGTCTTGTTACATTCTGAGGGGCTCTTTGAGGCCTTCGCTTCCTTTTGCATCCGATATGCGGTCATGAGGATCTTCTCTTTGCAGAACGAGGACCTCGCCGTTGGTGGGGCCGTTTTCGCTAATGTACTCCACAGTCACCAAGTAGTGAATTATTCCTGATATCTCCTTCTCCCTCACGCTCGCACGCATCACTTTGTTTTTATGCATTCCACAAGTTCTATGGGTTGTAGTGTTGAGACCATCAGGAGCTGGCAAATCGGCCTCATACTGCGTAATGAAGTCAGCATGAGGCCTTTCCGGCTCCAAAGACCCGATAAATTGACACCACGGCTCCGGAGTCTGACGACGGCTGCTAGCCTGGCGCCCTAGCAGCAGCTTGGCACTCGTATAAACGAATTTAATTGGGCGAGTGAGGGCAAGTTCGATATCAAGAATGCCGTCGATAATTTTGAACCGGTTGAGATTGTAGTACTTCTGGGGTATGGGAGTCGTACGCAGCTGCCTCGAGGGAAGGTCGAATCGTTCCGGTGGATAGGCATTGGGGATATGCATTTCAGGCCACCAGTCGTCGGGTTCAACGTAGCAGACGAGCCAGAAATTTGTCTGGTCCGCTTCGGCCGATGAAGCGAGAAGCAATGACCATGGAACGCGGCTCCCTTGATCACCTGAAGCATGAGATGCCAATAGCTTTCTGGAAGAGGACCTAAGGGGTCGGCTGATGATGATTTGCTCATGACGCCAGGGGACGTGGTCGGATGATTGGTCTATAGTTGACTGTCAGCTAGAGCAGACTTGTAGCAGCTAAACGAGGTGCCGGAATGCTGCCTGTGGGAAAAGAAGACCCTTGAATACTGACCCAGACTCTCCTTATATACCTCCTGATCCAGCTGGGTAGGATCTAGCCCGATCACCAGCGCGTTTTCGTCACGTAGTGCCTTCGGGGTACAGCTTTCGAATTGAGGCCTTTCGGCTGAGAAACGTGACAGGAAGCCCGAGCTAATAATGCGGTAGTAGTGTGGTCTGCGACCGGATTTCCCTCCGTAAGGTTGTCGCTTTAATCTGATGATCGGAAAGGTTCCAGGAATGCTTCCGATTTGGCAATCGAGGATCGCGTTGACCTCGCCGAAGAGTTGTCCGTCCTCAGTCGAGGCCGTTTCGTCTCGTCTGAAGGAAAGTACAATCAGTTCTAGCGATAGACCCTGGCTGGTAATCATCATCGCCTCTTTGCCTGTCCTACGATAGGGATGGGCGGCAATATCTCCGGACTCTAAGAAGTCTGCCGCTCGAGACGCCAGGAAATCGACAGGAGTCCCGTCAGACTCCTCCGTCGCATACCATGCCAGGATAGACTGGTCGTCGCTCGAGCGGATGATCTCCTCTTGAAGCCTCCGGAAAGCCTTCCTACCCTCGCCGTAGATGAGTGGCATGTTGACACCGAACAATCCCAGGAGACAATATGCCTCATCCTCGACTCGCGTTGTAACCCTGCTTGAAGCCCAGTACATACGGCGCGCGACACTCATCTCCAAGGGATCACCGCCCATGAGGACCTGCACGTCCACTCCAGACTTTGCCGCTATGGGACGCACAAGCGATCGTTTGGTGCCGAGGTACTCCCATCTTGCAGAGTAGAACTCGACAATTTCAGGAGCAATAAGCTCCTGCAGAGTCCAGCCCCGGGAGAACCACTTGCTCTCGGTGAAGGTATCGAGAGATTTCACGTCGTTGAGGTACGCGTAGCATACCTGCGCGGCCCCGTACCATTGGTACATGGAGTTGATGGCCTCTGTGAGCTCCGCACTGCTGGACTTATCGATGCAGCAAGTGTCTATCCAGATCCATTTGTACCCTTGCCTATGTGCAAGACTGCACGATCCGAGCAATTTGGCATATCCATATTTATTCTGCGTCACGAACTGCACGGCAGACGGGATCATGTCCTGATAGAGAATCTCCTCCTCGCCCCATCTGTGCGAGAGGATCGCATATGGGGGAGTGTCCTTCTCAAAGAACTCTCGTAACTCAAGTGACCCAGTATTCAATAGCCTCATATCGGATAAGTTAAGAGTTGTGTAAGGGAGAAGAGATCAAACACAAGGCGCACTTCAAACACAGTATCCGCGGTGTCTGCCTTGGACTGGTCGTCACGTTCGCCCTTTGAGGGGTCGGCGTCAGCTGCTGAAATTTTGTGTGCTTCGCAAGCGTTAGCGCAGGCAGGTGGGCACTTGGTCAAATCAGCCGTCACCGGCTTCTGACATGCATATTGTGGCGTTTCACCTTATCCCCGTTTCGGCCACAGCTGTGCCCTTGCAAATCTAGATTCATCTGGCTCTTCATTGCCAGATTCAATTGATTGCCAGCACTCAGTGCTTTGAAGCAACCAATAAAACAAGCAAACAAATAACAGAGATCAGGGAGGCCACCCATTGGACTATTTTCAAGCCCTACCACCCCAAGAAGGACTAGTATCAGACCTAACATAAATAAAAAGCTAGCACATATACTCAAAACGGTAGTGGTTTGTAAAGATACCCCTAAGAATATTGGTCGCCCTTGCACCTATTCTCTGGCCGCTCATTCAAGATTTAACCACTTGTATCCTAACACACAAGACACAAGCATACCTACTAATCAAATGACTATTAACATGTCTTCCATTTGCATTACAAAGATGCTTCACCTAAGGCAAATGGATAGAGTAGTACTTATGACGGTACGGCACTTATATTGCTGTTAGGAATTAGTCCGAGGGATTCATTATCCTGGTCTTTTGGCTAGCACACTTAATGCTAACAGCAGTCAAGTCTGTTTCAGTATTCAGAGTCAGGGGTCACAGTTACAGAAGCTTGCTGAGACTATCTAGCTAATGTAGAAAGGGACTTTCCATTCGGCTAACGACCAACTACGGAGTATACCACGGTGGAATCCAATCATTCCGGGCTAGTGTAGGCACATTTCTAGAAGGCCGCCCCACATGCGACACCACAGGTAAAATCAACTTGGCCCAACACAGCGGGCCTTTCCACAGGCCAAAGAGGTTAGAACTCGATTCCTAGCGTATGTGACTCCCACTCCCCAGTCAGGACGCCGTCCCCAGCTCCGCCGAGGGCACTGAGTTTCTGAAGATCTCCCAACAGGTCGTCCTTGCCCAACCCAGGCCAGGCCACACGGCCGCCCAGCGACCCTTCATATTGACCCTTGCCTTTCCCTGGGCCCATGTGACCTTGGGCACGAACATGTCTCGCAGCTCGACGACGCTGCTCGCGGACTCGCCGGGCCGCAGCGTCACCAGCGAGCCGGGGCCGGGGGCCATTCCGCGGCTGACCTTGATGGTCGGCATGTCGATCGGGGCCGGCGCGCCCGCGGGCGTCACGGAGACGAGCCCCAGCTGCAGCGCGAGGGGGTCCAGCGGGGAGTCCCACTTCAGCAGGGTCACCGGTGTCGACGGGTGTGTGTTCTTGACGGAGACCCAGAGGCTTGGGGTGGATGTGGCGGGCGCCCGCGAGAGCGAAACCTCGAGGTTTTTGGCTACTGAGAAGTCGGACATCGCGTAGAGATGGCAGCGCTGGCTTAGCGGTCTTGTTGGTGAGAGGCCTGGGAACAAGATGAAGCCTAGGGCGAATAGGGCCAGGAAAAAGAGCAGGAGTCGGCTGCTGTGAGAGATCATGTATGGTCTTCTTACTTCAACTAAGTCTGGGGCATTGTCGAAGCAATCGATTGTGCGTAGCTTTTGAATTCTTGGGCTTTGAGGCGATTATCTGGACATTGGGATTTGATGCGCGGATCAGAAGACAATTGCGAGTCTGCCAGAGCCACGACAGCTACAATCAAAGACGCGCATAGAGTGTGCTCAAAAAGCCTGGATATATCGCGCATGTGTAGTTCCTGTCATTTGACTGCTTACACCGTAGGAGACTGCGCATTAGTGCTGAATGTCATGTAACTGAGGAGACAACCTCCTCAGACGGGCTCATCGAAGTTGGTGGAGTAGGAGACATTCCGCCGTGACTTTGTGGTCAGTGTGCATATGCGGGCAAGGAGATATGCCGAGCCAAGCCTGCCAAGTGACCCATTTGCGGTGCTTGTCACCCCCAACCTCGGGAGTCGGGCGAGTACCGTGTTGACCTAGCTACATTTGACAGGAGGAGCGTGTCCAAGACCTTGGCGAACCTGGTCAGGGGTGGAAAGTTCAAATTGAGTCCTCTCTCGAGAGCTCAGCATCAGATAAGCTTAATTGGTGGGTTGAGTGTGCGACAAAGCCAAGCAACAAAACTCCAGCTGCCCAGCGCGCTATTACAAGATGTGGACCAAGATAGAGGCAACCTTCCTTTTTTGTACTCTCGTATTTTGGCACTTTGGGCTTCTAAGTCCGGAATGTCTGCAACGGTTGCTTCTGGGGGGCCCATGGAAGCCTCAGAATTAATGTTGTTGGATCAGCAACCGTCCCTCCTCTGGCAGTGGCTGCTCCATCGCGTATTTAGATTACCAACTGACTTACTGCCAAACTGCTTCTTTACTCGGTATCAAATTTTCTTCCTTCCTTTAGATACCTCAGTCCTGTTTATAAGGAAGGCGTACCAGCAGATCATAACATCCTTGCCCTAGGGAGACTCAAGGGAAGAGAAGGCTAGAGGGGCTAACTAACTGGATGAACAGACATCGTGGCAGCTCAACTTGAAGTACAGAGCGATCTTCGCTATAGAAAGAATTAGTACAATTCGAGGGCTCCTCGTATAGAAGTTGTCCCGACGCAAGACCTCCCTATTCGGGAGCAACAAATAAGTGACTTGTTGCCAGAGGAGGAACTGTTGCCGACCTAATCGTCAAATCTGGTCTAGAACTCTCCCCAGATCTCTGCCAAGCTCGGTACGGTATCCTTGATATGGTAGAGGTAACCTGCCTTTTTCGTCTACTCCCATCCTTGAGCTCAATGGGATTCGCGCCGTGTATTCTAAAGAAGAATCCCATATGGTGGACTTAAGCTAGCACCACGAAAATGAGTATATAACCGCTGAGCGTTTCGACTGCGGCCAGTCTTTGACAGCAGCTCGTAGTCGCAAACACTCATTGTCAAGTTAGTTTTCTGGTCAAACAGTCAGAATGAAGTTCATCGCCAGTCTCCCCTACCTCGCCGCTCTGGCCAACGCTCTTGCTGTCGACATCAGCAAGCGTGACTCTCCCATCAATGTCGAAATCGAGATGGTCAGCAACAGCGAAGTCAAGGCGAAGATCACCAATACCGGCGGCGAGGCCCTGAATGTTTTCAAGACCGGAAGCATTCTTGACAATCGCCCTATTGAGAAGACTGCCGTGTCCGTGGGTGGTAAGTCTGACCTTTGACATGACTTTTCCCACTTCCAAGTCGGACTAACGCATTCTATAGGTGAGAACGTCGCATTCAGCGGCCTGAAAATCTTCGTGGACTCCAACCTCGTCGACGCCGATGAGTTCCAGACTCTGGCCGCCGGCGAGACCGTCGAGGCCCAGTGGGACGTAGCCGAAGTGCACGACCTCAGTGCCGGTGGCGACTTCGACATCGCGACCACGGGGTCCCTGAAGTACGCCACGGCCAACAGCACCGAGATCATCGGCGAGGCCAGCATCGAGTCCGCCCCCATCAAGGTTACGGTGGACGGCGCGCAGGCCTCGAGCGTGCACGAGAACTCGCCGCTGAAGCGCACCGTGATCGCGTCCGACTGCAGCTCCTCGCAGAGGAGCACGCTGACCTCGGCGCTGTCCGGGTGCGTGCAGTACGCGCAGGGCGCGGCGTCGGCGGCCAGCTCGGCGCCCGCGGCCAAGCTCGAGGAGTACTTCAAGAGCTCGTCCTCGAGCACGCGCAGCACGGTGGCGCGGGCGTTCAACAACATGGCGACGCAGTGCGGCAGCGCCTCGAGCGGCAACACGCAGATCCGCTGCACCGACTCGGCCGGCGCGTGCCAGGGGTCCGTCGTCGCCTACACGGTGCCCAGCCAGAGCTACATGCACTACTGCCCGAGCTGGTACTCGTACCCGGCCTCGACCAGCACCTGCCACGGTACCGACAGGCCCTATGTCGTCGTCCACGAGGCTACGCACCTGACCCAGGTCAAGGGCACCGACGACTACAGCTGCTATGGGTACAGCTGTGTTCGCGGGCTGACTGCAGCCCGGAACTTGAACCATGCTGATACCTATGCTCTGTTCGCCCAAGCTATTCGGGTCAACTGTTAAGCGTGGAACCAATGTTTGCGGTTTTGCCCAAGAACTGTTGCAGTGCACTTGCACGTTTCTTTTTTTGTGTAAATAACCGTCCTGCTACGACAGACGCCACGATCCTCGCTTCTTGAAGGCTCTATCACATTAGCAGTACTTGAATATATATCCTGTCGTGCACTGCTTCAGTATATCGATGTTTACCGGTGCCTATGACCCTCGACTTTCGAATTGATGGTTACCGGTATGGTAAGTTTGGCTTAAAGACCTCGGGACGCTCTTCGCGGTGCAAGAGGCGCTTATGAACTAATAAAACTTACTCAGTGGCTGGTACCTGGCTGGAGACATCTAACCCTAACGCATGTAGATAAATTAAAAACCTGTCCGCCGCCGCTGCAACACACAGAGAGAGGGAGAGAGAGGGCGAGAGAGAAACGCATATACCATATCTATAACCTGCCCGTAGCCAACTTCCCGCTATCGGTGAGCGACCTGATCATGGGCGTCTTGATCCAAGAGGGGTGGACGACGCTTTGTTCTTCCGGTCAGCACGAACTGCGGGCCGTGGCCAACCTTGAAATAACGGCACGGGGACGGGGAAACGGCGAGCCTGGATAACACTCACGTTGCCCGCACCAGAGGCGCGTTGTAGACGAACCAGCACTCCTGCACGAGCCCCTCGTGGAACGACAGGAGCCCGTTCTTGGAGCACGCATACGGGACGTTGCACGCCTGGGTCGCGAAGGCGGCCATGCCCGAGACGTTGACGATGTGGCCGTGGTTATGCTTCACCATGGCCGGCAGGAACTGCTTGACCAGGTAGACCGGTGCAAACAGGTTGACCTCGAATACCCTGCGTGTGTCTGGCCCGGGCATCTCCAGGATCGGCGATATGATGCCGGTGCCGGCGTTATTTACGAGGACTGTTGGGTCGCCGTGGTCGTTCCTGATGGTGTCCGTGACGGAGGCGATCTCAGAGGCTACCCTGAGGTCGGCCTTGTAGAAGCTGGTGTTTTTACCTGTGGCAGTCGGTTGTTAGTCGGGTGTCAGTCGTTGTATGCCTCACTCGCGGGTCTGACACTATGTTACACTGAAGTTGTTACTAACCAGTCGGCTCTAATGGCGGGTTGAGATCGATGATGATGACTTTGACGTTGTCTCTCTCGAGCCACGAGACAATCTTGGCACCAATGCCACTGCTCCCTCCAGTCACCACCACAATCTCCTTGGAACAGTCCCACGTATCGTCAACCTCGAAGTTGTTGGCTTTTCTTTGCGACATCCAGCTATTCAGCTTTGGTAATAGAGGCAGGAGAACCAATGACGCAAGACCGGCCTGTGCTTCGGGTGTCTTTGCCATCTCAACTGCCCGAGCGAGTCGCTGATGATTCAGGAGAGACTGCATGATTGATGAGATGTACCAATTGTAGCCGCTGTGATGTTTGATACTTGCTTGATGATGGGAACAACATCACACAGCCGGTGAGACTGGGGCAGAGTGGACACCTACTTGAAGCTGTGGCCATTTTTACCTTGGTAGTTAGACGGCTTAAGGGGGTCCCGTGGTGCAGTTTACCTAGTGGTATCGTCATGATGAACTCGTTCATGGCCAGGGCTGTGTAGGCCCTGAATGCCACAGAACCGAACGATTGAATGCATCAACCTTGCAAGGCCAGGATTTCTTTAAGCCCGGGAGCCCTGGCACATGATGTGTGCCACTTCTGCAACATTGGCCTGCGGGCCGGTCCAAAACACCGAGGTGGGTTGACTGAAACTTCCCCCTCGGCTGTTTGATCAAACCTCGGGTTAACAAGAGATCTACCCACGCAATATTGGCCGAGGCGAATTTCCAAAACTGCATTCAGCACTTAGTGTCTAATTTACAGTGCATTGCAGACGCTCGAAGCGTGAGGTGCTTGAGGTATGATAGTGTGCCGTCAATGTCAATTGAGTCAACACTTGCCCATTTTCCACCAAAGCTCCCATAAATGATTGCCGAGGCCATCGCGAAAAGATCGATCCGAGCGTAGATTTTCTCTCGCACACAATTCTAGCCTCTCAGATTTGGTTGACATTCGCAGACAAAATTTCGAAATGCCGGATGACAATCGTTTCTCTCGTAATCTCATTAATAATACAAGGTACAGAGTATAAATCCAAAATCACCTCAGTTGTGGCCATCCTTCATCCTTCTTTCTTAAGCGAAACCCCAGTCTGTAGATGTGCAGTTACAACCAACCCATGACAATCACTCCGATTTCAAAATTCAAAGTAAACCTGGCAGAACACAAAGATGAATCAGCCAAGAAAGATCTCCCTTTTTTCCGGTGGCTTTCCCGGCGAGCCCTTTCAGGCCAGCATGTCCTCCCAGGTCGTTGACCTTGCGTTGGGATAGTCCGGCCCGTTCATGGCCTGGAAGAAGACACCCTCCCAGTCCTCTATGACCGACGACCCCTGCAGAAAACTGTCGAAGGTCTACGCCGCCGCGCCGCCGAATAGCTGGCGCTGCATGTTGTCCGTCTCTGGACGCTGCTGGAACGAAAACGAGTCGTACATCCCGCCCAGCACACCGGTGCCGCCAAGGTTGAGGCCCTGAACGGGCCCCTCCATCATCGCTGCCTGGCCAACTACCGTCGCCGTCGTCATCGTCGGGCTCAGAGCCCTCATCGGCGGTCCCGCTGCGGCGCTTTCCACCACCGGATGCGCAGCAGCATCAGCAGCACCTCCGCCCTCGAGCACTCCCCGAACTGCCCCCGTCTCCCCCCCCCCCCCGCAGCCAGGCCGGGAAGTGCCGCTCCTCGGGCGGCCGCCCCTGGCCGATACACACGTCGACGGTCATGGTCATGAGCAGGTACGAGCTGGTGTGGCGCGCCAGCAGGTCGGTCCAGTCGGCGGCGAACGAGGAGCCCGCCGACTCGGTCATCAGCGACTGTGCGAGGCTGGACACGTGGCGCACCGTCTCGGCGACCCACTCGGTGCCCTCGTATCGTGGCAGGAATGCCTTCATGGCCTCGGCGAAGACGGCCATGCGCTTCTGGTTGGTGGTGCTGCTGCTGCTCGCCGCCGCGGGGCCGCCCCACGCGGGCGTCCCCTGACGCTCGGCAGCGCCTCCGCCGGTGGTGGTGCCGGTGTTGGCGCCGCGTGCGCTGGCTAGCTTGGCGGTGATGGAGTGCAGGGCCAGCGGGGTCGCCACGCATGCGACGCTATTTTCGTGAAACAAACCGGTGTCAGCATTTCATGGCCCGGGAGGGGTAAGTTTGTGTGTTTGCGCTTGTGTTTGCGTTTGCGGAAGAAAAAAAGGCCGGGAACTCACGCTGTGATCGGCAGCCAATGGGCCAGGTGACGCCGGACGAGCTCGCCCAAGCACTCGGTCACGCTGAGGGCGGCGTCTTGCAGCTCCTGGCGGCTCTCGTGGATGATCTCAAAGGTCTTGTGCCGTGACGGCTCTGCTGCTTTGTTCAGTGTCATGGAGTGGTAGAGGACGCTGTAGTGGTAAAGCGCGATTCTCGCGGAGCTGAGTAGGGTTGTTTGGTCAGAGCTGCAGCCGTGCATAGGTAAAGTGAGCGGGAAACTTGCTGGTAATAGATGTACAGATTTTTCGTATTCAAAACAACAGACTTGTTGAGGCGCCTTGTCCTCGTCCAAGCTGTGATTGCCCATCGTGCCGCCAAAGACAGGAAAATAGATGCTCGTGCGTTCATGCCACCTCTCCAGGAGCACTTTGCACTCTTCAATCCCGGCCTCGTCTTCAGGCTTTGGGGTTATTCGGGACTGTTGTGCGTTTTCGAAAAGGAAAACGAGCGTCAACACGTCGGTGAGCACAATGCAGAACTGGATATAGTGGGTGAGCAGCCGGGCGAGGGAGCGCTTCGTGGCGGCGTTGTATACGCTCGACCGGTGCACTTCGTCCTCCAGGTCTGCAAACCCAAGAGGCGTCACGGCATCAAAACCGAACCGGTGCCGGGTAATGCTGATGCTGCGGCGGGTGCACAGTGAGCCGAGACGGTCGCGGATGATGCAAGACCACCACAGGCGACGCAGCATGTTCTGGAGCTTCTGTGGCTGACTGCACGTTGTCGTCCCGGCTGTCGATGTGGTCGGGGTCGACGTCGTGCAGCGGTCTGCGTTGATGCTTCGCGCGTGCTGGATGGCCAGGCTGAGCCACGTCGAGTTCGGCTTGAGCTGAAAGGCAGCCTTGCTCCCAGGGACCCAGCATGTGAGAAGCAGGGCAGCTTGTGCTAGAGAGAGCTGGGAGTCTTCCGTCTCCATGTCATACAGTAGCTGTTGTTGTATTAGCACACGACGACCATGGTCCAGGAGGTCGAAGGCATGCCAGCCAGATGGATCATACCTTGACACGTCTGTAAAAGGTGGCCTTCGCAGTGCGGATATTAGGAGGTCCCAGAGCTTTGATCGTCTCAAGTGATATGAACTGTATCTCTGTTAGTCACCTGGCCATGTAAACATGTCTTGAAGAGAGTAGAGTGGGCAACAGACATTACAGCTTGCACAAAGCATGGCCTGGAACACAAGCAGGGACATCTTCTCCCGCGAGCCTCCGGCTTGTTACTTTGAGAGGACATCTCCCAGAAATCTCCCTCGTTGAGTATCGGAAGGACGACGTGGACTTGAAGGAAACAGTGTTGAACCAAGTCGTCCAACGACAACTGGGTTGGGATGTGCAAGCACCCCTGTGACTCGAGATAGTTGACATCTTCAGCAGGGATGGCGTGGAGCCTGCCAGCTGTGAGGAAGGAGTAATGGGAATAGGAGACATCCGCACTGGCAGATGACGACCTTTTATTACCATGTCTCGTCCGTGACTCAGACCCGGTGTTAATGTGTGTCGGCGTATCCACGTAGTGCCTCTTGGTTGTGCTCGTGGTCGACGGCGGCGACGGCAGTGGCTCTGGATGTGAGCTGGAGCCAGTGCCCTTCCATTGCATCTCATCAGCATCAGGCCAGCTATCCCAGCCACCGGGTCCACCGTTGATGTCGTTCATAGCCGCGTGTGTGGCTCGCTCGACTCTTTCTTCCAGGCCCACCACATTCGCACTGCACCCAGACGGTGCCTCGAACGTGCTCGATGGCGGTGCCTTCTTTGTCTGGACTGTCGATGGCGAAACATCTTCCATCCAACCAGTCGACGATGGGATGGAACTGACATTGGCAGTACCCCGGTTCGGAGCCGGAATCTGTGACTGTGTCTGAGTGTCCCGAGTCCTGTCCTTCCTGGTCTTTCCTCGTTTGTCTCTGGGGAACTCGTCAGTAAGGCAACGGCAGTGCGAAGGATGAATAAAAACAATAATGTGGCATACAGGCGTGAGCTTCGCCCAACCACAAGACAGTTCTTGCTGTCGAGGAAACAGTTGGTGCACGGCTGACCCCGGCGTGAGACATCGCAGCGGACTTTTCGGGAGCGGCACGACACAGGCCTTTCCGGCTTTTCTCTTGTTCGCCAAGGACGGGTTGAGGTCCGAAAAGGAGCTCTCGTTCGGAGCATCGTTCGTGTCAGCCATGTTAGCAGGGTCGATAAACCTTTGAAGATAGGGATATGCTAATTAGCAGCCTGCTATCCGCGTGTGCCGTGGAGATGTGGCCGAACAGCTCGGCAAAAGACACTGGTGAAGAAACCCCGGGTTTTGGTGGCATATGGGGTGCTAGGACCCCGAGGTCCGAGGTGATTTAACGTCTTCTTCGGCTCCACTTTAGAGTTATACTACGGGAGGTGGGTGATCAACTGGAAAAGTCTTGGTTGCTCCCAACACCAAACAAGCAGTGCAACAAAATGCTGTCGGGTAGAGCCTATAACGAGCATCGTACATTCAGAGGATGATAACGCAGGAGAATCTGACTCCGACAGTCCGACAGAGGGTGGTCGAGATTACATGTATATATAGAGGAGACGCCTTTGTGTACTCACAATTAAGAACACCAAATTCCCCTAATGGCAGCTTCCTCGACACATCTGCTACACTCACCATGACTTCTTTGTTCGACGATGTGCCCACGCACTCTGTGGCCGTCTCACAGACCATTATCAATGATCCCCAAAACCGGCATCTTAAGATCATATCCCTTGGTGCAGGTGTCATGGGGATCATAATGGCATACAACCTCCAGATGCACTGCGAGAACGTCGACCTTACTATCTACGAGAAGAACGCGGATATTGGTGGCACATGGTACGAGAGTCGGTACCCAGGCTGTGCCTGTGACGTACCGAGCCACTCGTATACTTTCCAATTCGCGCCGAACGTAAGTTTTCCAGCTCCAGGTTCTTCAACAATAGCACGAGGGTTTTGTTAAAATGACATGTCAATTGTAGCCAGACTGGCCCAGATACCTGTCGAAGCGAGAGGACATCTGGAGCTACCTAGACCGCGTATGCAACGTCTTTGACCTTCGCAAACGCTTGAAGCTTAAGACGGCTATCACTGAAGCACGGTGGGACGAGGACTGCTCCCAATGGCACATCACTGCCATTCGCACAGCACCGGATGGCACAAAGGAGGAAGTCCACGACACTTGCGACGTGTTCGTCTGCGTCTCGGGGGTCTTGAATAATTGGAAGTGGCCCGAAATCGAGGGCTTGGATACGTTCAAGGGCAAGGTGATCCACACTGCCGACTGGGACCAGGATTACACCGCGGAAAAGTGGAAGGGAAAAAATGTCCTGGTTATTGGTTCGGGGCCGTCGTCTCTCCAGGTCGTGCCCAACATGCAGCCACATGTTAACCACATGGACATTTTTGTCAGGACGGTAAGTCCTCTTCTCGTTCAAGTGACAAGCTGGGTTGGTTTAAAAAAAAGACGACATTGCTGACGCTGATTCCAGGGCGTTTGGTTTGCTCCCCTGTCGGAAGGATTCGAAGAGTCCCAAGTCTACACGGAGGAAGGAAAGGCTCAGTTCCGCGACGAACCGCAGAGGCTGATCGGCTACATCAAGTCGATCGAGAGCCAGCTCAACAGGATGTGGCCTGTTCTTCTCAAGGACACTGAGGCGCAGAAGATGACCCATACCGTGATCCACGCGCGGATGGCCGAGCTGATCAAGGACCCTTATCTCATCCAAGGTAAGCAACATCCATCATCCCCCCTTGCCAGCCATCGTCTTGTTGGGTATTTCATCTGACGCATATTCTTTTTTTTTTTTTTTTAAATCGGCAGGCTTCACACCCAAGTTCTCGATCGGCCGCTGCCGCGTCACCCCCGGCGAGAACTACCTCAAGTCCATTCAGCAGCCCAACGTCAACATGCACTTCACCGGCGTCGACCGCGTGAACCCGACGGGCGTGGTCGGCGCCGACGGCGTCCACCGAGAGGGCGACACGCTCATCTGCGCCACCGTCTTCGACGACTCGTTCCGCCCACGCTTCCCCATCGTCGGGCGCAACGGCGTCGACCTGCGCGCCGCCTGGGCCGACGGAGACTGCACATCCTACCTGGGCCTGACCGTGCCCGACGTGCCCAACCTGGTGATGCTGCCGGGGCCCCCCTTGCGCGTGCAGAACGGCTCGCCCTTCGCCGCCTTGCACGCCGTGGGCGCCTTCGTGCTGCGCGTCATCGAGAAGCTGCAGGCCGACAACATCCGCAGCTTCGCGCCCAGGAGGGAGGTCGCGCGGGCCTTCATGCGGCACTGCGACAAGTTCCACGAGGCCTCCGTCTTCTCGGACGGGTGCCGCTCGTGGTACAAGAACAACGTGACGGGCAGGGTCACCGCCGTGTGGCCCGGGAGCGCGGTGCACTACGCCGAGGCGCTGAGGACGCCGCGGTGGGAGCACAACCATCTTGACTACCGGAACCCGACCAACATGTTTGCGTGGTTGGGGAACGGGTCTGTCAAGGAGCTCACGGACCCGGCGCTGGACCCGGCGCTGGATCCGGCGCTGGATCCGGCTTATTACGTCAAGGTCGAGAATATTGACCCCTTGTGGACCGAGGAAATTCAGAAGACGAGGCGGAACGGTGCGCAGAATGGTGGGAAGTTGGCTGAGACTAATATGGAGAATGGAAATGGGAGCATGCAAGTGTAGGTAGTGATTGTTAGTAGTGGAGGGTTCAGGGGAAAGAAGACTTGAACTATAAAATCAAACAAGCTTCTGAGGTTGCTGCTAAATCATGGCAAGTATGCTTGTTGATTCAGTCAAATTACTAACAGACATGTGAAGCGATCCCGAATGACGCCCCGAGGAAAAGCTCGGTCAATCCTTGCCGTGACTGGTGCGTGGTGTAGCCAGAAAATTGAAGTCTTCGTGTATATAAAACCCGTGACAACGGACCCTCATTGGTTGGGCTGGATTGACGCACGCCCAGGTATAGTTGACCAGCAGTGCTGGCAACACCTTGTCCAGCATCATGAAAGCGACAGTTTTCCCGAGGCAGCTGTACTTGCCGCTACTGAAGACCAGATCAACCGTTTTTTCCATCTCCTTCAACTTTTCCGCGCCCTCTTCCTTACACAGCCAGCGTTCGGGCCGGTAGATGTCCGCATCCTTCCCGAATATTGACTGGTTCCGCTGCGCCGAATAGACGTTAACTCCGATCTCGATTCCTGCTGGGATGAATTTCCCGTTCAGGGTGGCGCCTTCAGGCGGTGGGAGCCGCGTGCCCAGTCCGCCCAGTGGGGGACAGATGCGCAGGCCTTCCTTGATGCATGCTTGCAAGTACGACAGGGCCTTCGCGTCCGACTGCTTCATTCCCGGCTTCGAATAGCCCTCCAGCTCGGCCATCAACTTTGAATAGACCACAGGGTTGGTTATGACGTTGAGGAATATCATACGGATGGCAGTGGCCGTGGAGTCGGATCCTCCCAGAGTCTCAGTGATGGCCTCATTTTTTGCCTCCTCGGCGGAGAGACCACACCGCATCCAAGAGCCCAGCATATCCATCTTGGGCGGCGCTTTATCAGCCTCTGCGAATCGCTTCGCGACCACGCCCATGGCGATGCCCATCATCGCGCCCAGGCCGGTTTTGTCAGTTGCTCGCGGCCTCAGAGGTGCCATGATCCTGCTGGAGAGCAACGCCTGGAACCGGGGGAAGTGCGAGCCAAGCTCGCTGACCACGGCGAACTGCTTCACGCTCTCGATGAAGGAGTACATGTCCCTGTCCTGTTTGAGGTAGCCGACCGGCTGCTCGAAGCCCTGCTGGGTGAGGACGTCCAGTGTGAAGTACGAGGCGAGCTTGGCGACGTCGACCGGCTTGCCCTGGGTGGATTTGCGCTCGACTATGGCCAAGAGATTGCTGATCCTGTCCTCGATGTCCTGCTCGAGGTTGGGCAGATCCCTTCCGGAGTACTGCAGGCATGTCAGTCAAGAGTGTCAGATTGATTCCGGGCATGGCCGCATGACTTACTCCGCGCATCAACTTTGCCCTAAGCCGCATATGTTTCTTTTCATCGGGCTCGGATAGGACATTAGTTTTGTCCGGCGTCGTGTTGAACGCCTCATACCATGGACCACGGGTGAAGTTCGAGCGTGGCGAGGTCATATACTGCATGATCAAGGGATCATTCGTCACTACCTTGCTCGGAGCTATTCTGACTATGGAACCTGTGACCATGTTTCAGCAAGTGCGAGCTATCTACGGATGCTAGATGCAGGGCGCGACGTACCATATTTTGCCAAAGCTTTGGCGCAGTCAACCTGCGTCCGGCCCATGATCGTTGCTCGGAAGAGCCAGAGGCTCGAGACAGATGCCAACCATGGTCCTTTCACATGAGCACACTTGGAATAATTGACAGAGTATTTGACAATGATGAGCGAGAAGAGCAGAAGAAGGCAGAACCACAAGTGGCCTTGAGGGTGAAACGCGGCTTCCATTGCTGCAATATGTGGCTGGGCTCACGAACGGAATGAAGTTTCAGTTGCGTCGCTTAGAGGAAGAGGTCGATTTCTCGCTCTGGCGTGGGGATTCCACCACCTTGTGTCCTCGGTCTCTAGATTTGACCAATGACCACCTGCACCCAATGCAAGCGCCAACATTGGCATCGGCCCATCTACAGGCGAGACTTCCGCTGCATGGCGGTCGGCAATAAGATCTGTACGAGGCAACTATCCGATCCTGGACTCCTACAACCCCCTCAGAAAGAGAAAAGAAACGAGACAACAAGAGCTGGGCCGGAGGTATGTGCAAGCTTGGGGAATGAGGAGATTGCCTATGACAGTGTCTAGAACATACGAGAATTGATAATTGGTCCAGGTTGCTCATCACCACCGACCCAGAGACATCAAGCCTGTCAGTTTCGAGAGAATACTATATCCATAAAATCCTCCCCAGCGGCAAGTCTTCGTCTGTTTGTGGGATGTTGCTACTTCCGAGCCCTGATCAGCACCTTGAGACCGGGCGCGTGCGACGCAATGCCCCCGGTCACAACCCACTTCCCCTCCTCCAGCATTTCTAGGTCAAACCGACGGATGATCTCAGGTACGAGTTTATGCATCTCCATCAGGGCAATCTCCTTGCCCAAGCACACCCTCGCGCCCATGCCGAAAACATACATGGCAGCGTCCATCTTAGCCACCTGCTCCTCGGGGCCCAGCCACCGCTCGGGGCGGAACTCATGCACATCAGCACCGAACACGTCCGCGTCCCTCTGCACGACATACGCCTGGCTCGTCATCTCGGTGCCCGCCGGGATGAAGTTCCCATCGATCTCTATGCCGCCCCGCGGCGCAAGGCGCGGAAAGATGTTTGGGATCGGGGGGTTCACACGCAGCGACTCCCGGATACACGCACTCATGTACGGCAGGTGCGCCCGCGTCTCGTCGTACTGCACGACCGGGCTCAGCAGCCCCTTTTCATCCGCCGCCGCGATCTCGGCCCGCACGCGGGCCATGGCGTCGGGGTGCATGAGGAGCAGCCGCAGCGTGGCGCCCAGCCCGCTGCCCGTCGTGTCGACGCCCGCCTGGATCAGGAGCGTCATGTGCGCCGTCCTCTGCGTCGCGGTCAGCGGCCGCGCCGAGCCGTAGTCGTCGCCGCTGCCGCCGACCGTCGCCTCGAGCGCCAGCTGCAGCATGTCCGGCGGGTCCGGCCGGGGCTCCCCCATCTCCATGCGCCGCTCGCGCTCGGCGATCTCGCGGTTCGCCTGCGTGACCAGCCAGCCGTTGCCTGTCTCGTCCGACTCGCGGGGGAGCACGTGGGGCCCCAGCGGCGAGGGGAGTATCACCTCGCGGAGGAAGCGCCAGCGCTGCGAGAGGCCGAAGAGGGCGAGCCCGTCCCGCCAGGCGCGGATGAGGCCGCGCTCGTCGCGGTCGTTGGTGAGGAAGCCCCAGGGCGTGGTGAACACGATGGTGGTGAGCACGTCAGCGGCAAACTCGGCGACCTTGTCGCTCAGGATGACCGGCTCGCCAGTTTCAATGGGCTTCTTTTGGTTGGAGAGGAACATGCGGATGAGATTGTCCACCCGCGACTCCCAGTTCTTCTTGATCAAGCCGACGCCCCATGGCGCCCCGCCGACGGCCTTGCGCAGCTCCTTGTGCTCCTGGCTATCGGTGACTTGGAAGATTGATCTGGGTCCCAGGGCATCGTGCCCGTACATGGACGATTTGGTGTTACACTTGGAATTCCAGTAGATCTCATTAAGCGCCGAAGCCTTGTAGAAGAACAGGAGAGTGGGTGTAATGCGGATTGGCCTTCCGTCCTCTAGTTCGGGGCATTCCTATGTCAGTGACGATACCTCTAGATAAGGTGGTCTTATTTCTTCACAGTTCGGATCTCAACAACACCAGAGGAGGCTCCTGACGTACTGCCGTATTTGCGCACAAGCGACATGAGCCAGTCGGGCTCCTTTGACGTGACGGAGGCCAGGCCCAACGGCAGTGACGAGCATGCGGCATACCACGGGCCTGGGAAGTGACGCAGTGGGTGCCAGAACAGGCAGTGGATTATACGCCAACCAACAAGCGACAGAGCAACAAATCCAAATGCCAGCACGGCCTTGAGGAGTGCTGACTGGATAGCAGAAGAGTTCAACAAGTGGATTGCCATGCTGGTAATTCTTTATTTCGATATGGCACGGGACGTCGCAATGATAGAAATCCATTTGGAATGATGGGTTCTTGCATAGCAGTATTTATGTTGAATATTGCTTTCCTCCGGCCTTGGTCACGGGAATACCTGATCCGGACCTGGGCACCTGCAGTCAGCGTCACTATGTGTTGCCATGTCAGACTCGGCACCTGTTCTGTCGAATGAGGTAGCCCGGCTCTGGTGACACACGTGCACATCTGCGGGGTTGAGAACTAGAATCTAAGACAAATGCTACCTGAATTCTACAAATGCAGTGACTTGACTTGGCGTTTATGTTGATCAGGAGGAGATTTGTCATTGTGCCATCCGAGGGGAAGTTTGATGCGAGTCTTGTGTAGTAGAAAAGATTCGTCGCGAACCACACTCTCCTCAAGTGCTGGCCAAAAACATTCAGATCGCTTGAAAGAGTACACTTCTGGTTTGCGTCTCGAAATCCGTCGGCCGTATGACCCAACGATACGGCGGGCTCTGCAGTGTATTTTCAACCGCACCTATTTTGGACGTGGAAGGAAACCTTGGTACTGCCCTACGCGTTGCTGTGGCAGGTGAGTGGAGAGCTGTTCAAAGCGATAGGGACATGACTTATTCCCGTTGCTTCGACTGTATAGATTGGGCCAATGTTTTGATCCGAGAGTCAGAATCTACGGTCATCGTGGCATTTTATCTCCCCGCTTTGCTTCAACTGTTCGGCCCGACTATGGATAGACCGTCGTAGGTGTGTACAGATCTGCTTCCCTGTCCCACGTTACTGCGGTCCTACGATGGGAGTTGTTTATATGCGAGCTGCCCAGAGAAGAGCCGGGCGGGCCTTCTCAGGTCCCGGACTGGTCAGTGACAGGCACTGACTGGAGTTTAATGGGTTATCGAGGGAGTTTGCGCCAAGTTACTGCCGCTTACACCTCGAGATTCGTGATCTAAAGATCGTGGAAGTGAAGGGCGTACGGTGTGCACGAGTGTGTGCTATTGGCGAAGCAGTCATGTAAGGACAGGATCGCGTGAAGGATTTGGAGAGCGTTCGCTTCTCCGACGCCTCATACCTTACCGGCGAGGGCTTTCTGCGTGCCTACGCGGCTGCTCTACGACACAGCGGCTTTGAAGAGCGCTTCCCCAAAACCTTCATATATATAGACGACTCGTAGGCACAGGCCTGTGATCATGCTCTTTCCGGTAACTAGAGGAGCTCTAACCCCGGACTAAGCGGATGATAGCTCGACTGTTGACGATGGCCGGTACACTTTGGAGCGTCTGTACGGACATCAATTTCTATGATAGAGGAAGGCTATATCTGCTTTGCGCCCGGCGCAATGCCAGGTGAGTATTCCGCAGACACGAGCTTGGCCGTCAAGTGACCATTGCTGACCCGCTAAAAGAGACAGACGTCATCTGCGTCCTTCTCGGCTGTACTCCGTACTGTGCAGTGGATGTCTGCTCCAGACTTAACCCTAACCCTGTACACACCGTGTCGTGACAAGGAGGATCGAAATCCACCTAAACGAGGTTTCTGCCGATGTCGAGGCCATTCGGAGGGTACAAATCAAAGCCGGCGTGGTATCAGGAGAGAAAGCGACAACTCGAAAGAAAAAGAAAAAAAAAACCAGAGACACCAAATAAAAAGGGTTCTCGTATCGTGGTTGGGTCGAGTCAATACCAATTCGTCGTGCTCAAGTGGATGAACGGCTTTCGCGGAAGCCGGCCGCGTCACTTCCTGAAGAATCCACGGATGTCAACATGAACTGTGATACTTGCTTTGGAGTAGTGGGTATTATCTTTCTGCCACTCCATGGTCATTCTGACAACTCAAAAGGTGATAGCAACTCCCATGTCATCATTCAAGCAGGACGGTGAGACCCGTTGTATTCCTGTCGACCTCAAAACATTTGGGCCTTATTTTATTCTTCGGGCTCAGGAATCAGGTGCACACGCCGGTATCTTGGACGACTCGCAGCTCCTGAAAATACTCGGTCAATTCTCCCTAAGACTCGACGCTACGCTTCTCATTCCAGAGATGAAGGGGTTGGAGCAACCATTGAGGGCGAAGTCAAAAACCCACAGCTCTACAGCTTTGGTAGGAAAATACCGCCTTCGAATTGCTGTCCACGGTTTTACAATTGACAAAGAACCAATTGGTAAGCTCCTTTCCGATGCTGGTTTCTTTCTCCAGCACCCGTCTGTGGCCGAATTGCTACCTGATGTCGAATATGACAATCCCCATTACCTGCTTCGGCCCGGGGCAAAGATGCCGAGGATGGAGGACCTCAGTATGGAGATTGACGGGGACGTCCCTTCGCAGGACGAATTGGAAGATGAGGCAAGAAGTAGTAACCTCCTCCGGATATTTGAGTCAGCAGCACTTGCAGCTGATGGGGCCCGAGTGACACATTTGAAAGCGACACCAAGCCCCCGGCTTCGCACAGGACTCATGGTGTAAGACATGTTCTTCAAAATAGTCTCAAATATAACTGACGCATTTGGATAGCCACCAGATGGCATCGCTCGCCTTCATGCTGGAGAAAGAGAGCGGCTTCATAGAAGAGCCAGCGTTCCCATCGTTTTGGAGAACAGAACGTTCCGAGGGAGGCGCGACCTTGCAGTAACTGATCCCACGGCGGATTCTGAACACTGCGATTAACTTGCTGACCAACACTTGGTAGTTATCGACATACAATAACACGGTCATTAGAGCCTAGGCCTTATCCAGTCATGGGAGGAATCCTCGCAGACGTGGGTGTTTTTCTTTTCAGTCTTAAAGCTCTAAGCCAAACCACTGACATATATCTCAAACACATGGGACTCGGAAAGACTTTGAGTGTCTTGGCGCTTATATGTTCTTCTTTGGATATTCACGCCAATATTGAGGGGCTTGCCCGGAACCAGGGCTGCAGGAGAACGCTTATCGTTGCGCCAAAGTCTAGTAGACTTACCCAAACATAAAAGATGTTGTTGGCCCACTAACTCCCCGGAAAGCAATACATAGCTGGGAAACTCAAACATCGAAGCAAGTACAGCTTCAACTTTCTGTCCGCATAGTAGGCAGGCTAACAAACTTGGTGACTTTTAGACACGTTCATGAAGGGGAATTGCGACTTGGCAGAGATCACGACTCCGGAAGAAAAGAGCTTGCTAAGGAGCTCCTGGAAACGGACGTTGTCATCACCACTTACGAGACCCTTCGCTCTGATTTTACAAACCCAAACAGAAGTCCCATCTATTCGTCTCAATGGCTCCGAGTAGTCTTGGACGAAGGTAAGCATAGCCCTATGACGGTGTACTGTTCTTGTTGCTAAGCTCTCCGCAGCTCATCATATCCGGAACCGTTCCAGTCAGGCTTTTCTTTCTGTTTGCCAACTGGAGGCCCGGTATCGGTGGTGCCTGACTGGGACACCGGTCCATAATTCTCTAGATGACTATGGAGCCTTGCTCAGCTTTTTTACGCGTTTATCCATTCCGGGCAAAATCGCAGTTCATAACCTACGTTGTCAAACCGGTGGAAGAGAAGCACAAATTGGGCATCCAGACGCTTCAAGAACTTGTTCGAGCGACATGTCTTGGGGAGGCGGGCACGGCGGGCTGTGAACGCAGTGGAGGCCAGCGCCAGTCCAACCTCCTTAGGCACATATCTAGACTTTTCTGCAGCAGAGCAGCCATGTTTGTGCCCTCTAAATTCCATCTGCAAACTCTGAAATGAAGGATATCATAATTTGAGCCCAACCTCTCGTTCTATTCATTGTGTCTTTTGAAAATTTCATCCAGGCTCATTTACTATAGGAAGCTAGGCAATTTTCAAGCATGGTCTCCGCGCAAACCTCCACAGGTAGGATGTCGAACCAAGGGGCACTCCTTCGTAACATTTCCGGCTTAGATGACATGCGCTTGGCAGCCCAGCAGTATGGCCTTGGACACCTGTGGAACGAGTTTGAATCGAGAATTCCGGACCTATTTGTGGATGACGCCACTGAGAGCAAAGTTGGTAAAGCGATCGACGGGAAGAACCACATCCAATGGGCAACAAATCGTGAAGGATTTACTAGATACGTTTAGGAAAGGACTTTGCGAGGTACCGTAAGTCAGCACTTTCCATTCATCAAGAGAAACTAGACTTGCATTCATTGGCCATGTTCTCACTAGGATATTGAAAAGGTACAATTCCTGGAGCAGGATAGGCATCACCATTGAACTCTTTTCTGCCCTATGCCAGCGTGCTGAACTCACACCATACTTCTTAAATTTCATTATTGGAATGGGAAGAAAGTTTACGTCAAGGGATGAAAATTTTATGTCATGCTATAGTATATCGTCACCAAATAGGACTGGTCTGTCCGGCCTGGGTAGTGACGCGGCGACGTGCGGTGTGTCGCATTGGGGTGAACTTTTCTGCAAGAATAGATGCAAACATATTTCAACTAATACAGTGAGATCCACAGCACTTTGCTACAATATTCGGTATTTCGAAAGGCATGGTCGGGAATTGGAAGATTCTTGGTCATGTCGCCAGTCAGCCATCCACCACACCTTTTCTACAACTTCGAAGCAGTCAACTTGGGTCATTATTCAGCCCCCTGAAGCTTTCGACGTAGTCCTGCACTCAAAAAGGCATCCATTATCCTTACATACTCGATACATCACCGCCGGTCTTGCCAATTGGAGACATTACCTTGACACCTTTGCACAGAGGTTCAAGACTTCCGTTGAGTAGAACCCACACTACAAGAATCAAAACGTTAATTCTAACGATCAAGTCTACCAATACTTCAGAACCAACATATTGCGATGCCAAATCCGTATCAAAAGTTCAGGATCGACTTCTCCCATGAGCAGCAACTGCAAAATTCCAGAGGCAAACTATCTCATGCCTTAAACATCTTGACCAATATGAAAGATACTCTCAGACTCATCGATGATTATTCGAAGGCTATGGTACATTCGCAAAGCATCCCCGCAATGGAGCACACAGAATTTGAACGAGACTTGGACAATCTGTCTCGAGATATCCAATGCTACATTAGAACGTCGGAAAAGCTCCTGAGGATGTCAGATGACTTGAAGTCCATGGCAAGTCACCAAACGCTCGAAATGCTTCAAATGGTTTGGCGATGTCCAATCTGTCTGACATTACTGCTGTACAGTACGACAATATTCTCATGTTCCGCGGACAAGAGCTATAACATGAAAACAGCCTAAAGCTCACCCAACTGGCTCAGACTGATGCAGTCGAGAACAAAGATATGGCAATTTTGGCGGACCTGACATACAGAGACTCACGAACGATGCGTATCGCCACAGTGATCGCTATGTTCTACCTTCCAGCGAATCTGGTCATGGTGTGTTCCCTAGCCGCTTCTTACACCTTCCATCATGTTTCAAACTCTTAGTTGGGCAGATCGGACTTTCTCCGCGGCTACAGATTTGGTCTAAGTATGTCCTCACTAACCTCGATCTTGTGACAACCAGTCGTTCTTCAGCAGCACACTCGTCTGGTTCGGTACTTCTGGCGATGTATCAGAAAACTCTGGCTCGAAAATGCAAGTCCGTAGTGAGGTCTAGATTGCGACGGTGGCAGCGATCGTATTGGCCGCTGCCACTATTGGTTGGTCTTGGTGGTGGAACTTTCAGGAGCAGAGGAAGTCTAACAACACAATCGATCCGAGGCCCTAACAAGCAACTGAAGCAGATCTGAAGTGGTAAAGCCTGTCTATTGGCAGACACAGGTTACGCAAGCATGTCATCCCCTTCAGGTGCAGCCTGTGTTCTTGCATGGAGTGGATGTGGCAAAGATGGAAATCTGCTTGACCATGGGACGCCTGTTTGCAACCTCAGCTGGGTTTCATGTGGGGCTGTACGACACTCTTTATGAGCGCAACGTGGCTTTCGATAAAGAATCCTACACATGTCTTTTCTTCAATCCCACCACTGACGAGTTGATGAGAGAAGACACTAGGCTGGAAAAGCACCCAGACCGGGAAAGGGTCGATCAAACGAGACCGCTGTAGCAAGATAACCCGGAAGTCTGGGATTTTTCTTTTTGAATCAAGAGGACTAGCGCGGCATGGAATTAGATCCATGGATGTTGCCTGAGGCATTGGAAACACGGGAATTAAAGTTGAAGATATGCCATTCTTTTAGAATGGTTTTGTATCCCGTCCAAGGGATAAGCTCCAATACCCATCTCCTACCAAAAAATATTAATTTTCTTTCCCGTTATACAGTTTATACCAAACTACTCTTCGGAATTTCCTACATTTAATAAATATAATATATAAGTCCCATACTTCCTTAATAATATATAAATTTAATGTTTTATTAAGATTAATTCTTATTTTATTTATATTTTATATTAAAAATTTAGCATTTAATTTATAATTTAAATCTTTATATTTATATATTTTTAATTAAATAAGCATTATTGCTAAACTTTATATTATTACCTTATCTTATTATATAAGTTATTTCCTTAATTATTTTAATAATAAGCTTTTATTTTATAATGCTTAAAATTATTAACTTTAATTTCTTTTAAATATTTAATAACTTTATATTATTATAATATTAATATTTATAATTATAATATTATTAATTAAAGGTTAATATATAAATTTATTTAAATTATTTAATTTTTTATATATATTTATTAATATATTTTAATTATAAATAATTATATTTAAAATATTTTATTAAAAATTTAATATTTCTTATTTTTTAAGATAATTAAAGCATTATTATTACTATTAATATAGCATTATTTTTAATTAAATTTATTCTTAATATTATATTTTTATATTAATAAGATTTAAAACTTTATAGCTTATTTAATTTAAATATTTAATAAAAAAGTAAAAAAGCTTTATAAGTAATATAAAAATTAAAAGAATTTATAATTACTTTATATAATTAGCTTTATACTTATTATATAAGTAGTAATATATAAAGTTTATATAAATTATTATTATAATAATAAGGCTTATAATTATAAAATATATATATATTATTTTAGCTATATTATATTAAGTTTTTATTAATTTTTTATTCTTTTTATATTAAATAATTTAATAAAAAATACTTAATATAATTAAAATTAAGAAAAAATAAAAGTTTAAAAAGAGTTATTTATACTTAACTTATATAATGCTTTATATTATTTAAATTTAAATTTAAATAGTTTATAAAAATAATTTAAATAATTTAATAATATAATAACTTTAAATATATTTATTATTATTAATAATATTAAGGCTTTTATATAAAAATTTTAAGGCTATAAATAAAGATTATAATATTATAATTATTTTTAAATATAATATAATAAAAATTTATTAATTAAATATATATAATATTGGCGGGTGTAAGGAAATGCAGGGAAAAGTAGTATTGCATTAAATTTTGGCTGGCTATAAAAAGTTAGCTCTTTTACTTTTTTAAATACTTTTTTAAAGAAATTAACTCTTTTCTTTTCTTATATATTTAGTGCTTTAATTAAGCTTTTCTTATTTTTAAAAATTTTTAAAATATTTACCTTTTTCCTTCTTTAACTCCCTTTTATTTTTATATTCCCTTTTTATTATATTAAAGTTCCTCCTTAAGTTATCCTTAAGAGGATTTAGCAAAACTTATCCTTTATTATTTAGGTAGCTTATTTTTATTAATAATTTAACTTAAGCATGATTTTAGTTTTATATATTTTTAATTAATAATAAAAGGGATAAAAAGTTAGCTATAACTTAATTATCTTTTAATTCTATTTTTTCTCTTATTTTTATATTAAATATTATTAAATTATTTTATATTTTAACCTAAAGCTTTAATTAAAGCTTATATTTATCTTTAACTTATTATAAAAAAAAATTAAATATAATTAAATTTATAATAATATTATAAATATCTTAAAATTATTTTTTAATTTTAAGATATCTTTTATACTTTTAATATTTAAATAAAATATTATCTTAATCTTATATTTATATATTATTAAGCTTTAAACTTATTTTAAGTTTTTTATTAAAAATTATGCTTAAATATAGCAATAATATAAGCATAAAACCTAAAATAATAAATTTAAATTTATAAATATTATTTAATATTAATTAAAAGTACTTTTAAATTCTTAATTAATATTTATTATTATTATTATAATTTTAAGTTTAAAATAAAAAAGGTTATAATATAGAATTAAGGTGCTTATTTTGCTTATTTATAAGTTTAATAAATAGCATTATATTATATATTTTATATTAATTAAATTATATAAAAGGCTTAAATTTAAAATATAACTTTACTTAAACTTTAATTAAACTTAAATTTAAATTGCTAAGGATTTAATATAATATTAATAAATAAAATATTAAATATAAATTTAAAAGGCTTTCTTTATTATAATCTTATAATACTTATTTTTTAATAAAATATTTTTTTATTAAGTTTATTTTATTTATTATACTTATTAATACCTTTATTTTTTAAGCTTTAATTTAAATATCTTATAATAATATTAAAAATAAATTCTTTAAAAGCAGTTATTTTAATTAAAAATATTATTGCTTTTAAATTTTTTTATTTTATTATTATTTTAATAAGAATTATTATAATATATATATTATACTTTTTAACTTAAAGTCCTTTTAAATTTACTTTTATTTTAAAAATATCTTTAAACCTTAAAAACTATTTATCCTCTTTTACTTAAAGCTAAAAAAGAAATCCTAAGAAATTTATTAAAAGAAAAGGAAGATTTAATTTTATTTATTATTAATTAAAGTATTAACCTTATTTTAATTAAACCTTATAATTTACTATTAATAATAAATTAAGAATTTAAATTAATATTTTAAAAGTTTTATTTTTTATTAATATAATAATTTTATTATAAATAATTTTATTTATAATTTATAATTTAAATACCTTAAAGTTTAATAAAATTAATATTATTAAGATTTTAAATAGCCTTAAAATTATTATTTATTAATTTTCTTATTTAAATAATTAAATTTTAAAATTATTTAAATAATATTGCATTACTTTAAATTTAATTAAAGTAATTAAAAGCATTATTATTAAATAATATATTTAAAAAAATTAAAAGAAAAAACTTCTTACCTTTTATAAGTTAAATAATTAAATTTATTATATAAACTTAATAATAATTATTAAAAATATTATTTATAATAACCTTTATAATAACTTAAAAGCATAAAAAGAAAAAATTATAAAATATAATTAAGAATTTAATAATATAAATAATATTTTTTTTTTTATAACTTAGCCCTTTTATAAAATGCTTTTATTATATTTAAAAAAATAATTAATAAGGAAAAGAATTACTTATAAGTTAATAAGAAATATTTTTTAATTAAACTTTAAGCATACCTTATTAAAAATTATTAATTAAAAGCTTAAATATTTTAAGTAAAATAATTACTTATTTATATAAAATAATTTTAATTAAAATTTATTTAATATAAAAAGATTAAATTTCTTTTAAAAAAGCTAAAATAATTTTAATTCTTTAAATTATTTTTAAAATAAAAATTTATGAGCTTAATAATCTTTATTTAAATTTAATTATATTAATATTATTAAAAAATATAATTAAAATTTATAAAATATAAATAAACTTATTAAAAAATTTATAAAATTAAAGCTTAATTTAATTAAGTTTAAAAATAAATTTAAAGCATTTTAATAAAATATTAAAGCTTTTTTTTATAATAAATAATAAAGTAATCTTAAAATAATTAAATTAAGAATTATAAATTTTATTTAATAGCTCTTAATAAGACTTAATTAAAGTAACTTTAATAATAATAAAATATAAGCTATAATTTTAATACTTTTCTTTAAAAAAAATAAGTTATTTAAAGTTTATTATAATTATACTTTTTAAAATTATAATATATATTAATATAATAAACTTAAATAACTTTTATTAAATAATTTATTAATAACTTTAAAATTAAAGGAATTATTAATATTTTTTAGCTTATTTAAAAATATTTAAGTTAACTTTTTAAAGTATTTAAACCTTACTTATATTTAATTATATTATAATTAAAGTAGTTATAATTTAAAAAAATATATTTATAGCTAATTAAAGTTTTTATTTAAGAAAAAAAGATTTAATTTACCTTATATAATTAAATATTATAAATTTATTAAAGTAAATTCTTTATTTAAAGGAAAAGCTTTATTAAAAGCCTTAAAAGTAATTTAAAAACTTAATAATTAAAAGAAAGTTAGCTTAATTTTAATATTTATAAATTTTATAAATTATATAATTTATATTAAAAAAAAGCTTATAATTATAAATAATAATAAGCTTTTTTAAATAAATATTATTATAATTAAAAAAAAGTATATAATTAAAAATATTAAAAATTAAAATAAAGTTATAAAAATTATAAAGATTAATTAAACTTAACTTAAAAACTTTAAAAAGGTAAAATATAATTAATTTTAAATTATTAATAATAAATTATAATTAAAAAATAAAAAAAAAGTAAAAAAAAGGAAAAACTTATTTATTAATTAAAATTAAACTTAAAAGGGAAATGCTA